AGACACGAAGTTCCCACGATCTCCGGTGAGGAGTTCCACGGTCTCCTACAGAGAGCAAGTCTCACGGTCTCCTACAGAGAACACGCTCCCACGGTCTCCCTACAGAGAGCACGTTCCACGATCTCCCACAGACACTAAGTTCCCATGATCTCCGGTGAGGGAGTTCCACAGTCTCCTACAGAGAGCAAGTCTCAGTCTCCCCACAGAAAGCAAGTCTCACGATCTGCAGAGCAAGTTCCCACGATCTACAGAGCAAGTTCCCACGATCTCCTACAGACACCAAGTTCCCACGATCTCCTACAGACACTAAGTTCCATGATCTCCGGTGAGGGAGTTCCCACAGTCTACTACAGAGAGCACGTTCCCACGGTCTCCTACAGAAAGCAAGTTCCCACGATCTCCTCACAGACACTAAGTTCCATGATCTCCGGTGAGGGAGTTCCACGATCTCCTAGAGAGCAATTCCCACGGTCTCCTACAAAACACGCTCCCACGGTCTCCCTACAGAGAGCACGTTCCTACGATCTCCTACAGACACGAAGTTCCCATGATCTCCGGTGAGGGAGTTCCCAGTCCTCACAGAGAGCAAGTTCCCACGATTACCCACAGAGCAAGTTCCCACGATCTCCGGTGAGGGAGTTCCCACGGTCTCCTACAGAGAGCAAGCTCCCACGGTCTCCTACAGAGAACACGCTCCCACGGTCTCCTACAGAGAGCACGTTCCACGATCTCCTACAGACACTAAGTCCCATGATCTCCGGTGAGCAGTTCCCACAGTCTCCTACAGAGAGCAAGTTCCCACGGTCTCCTTACAGAGAGCACGTTCCCACGTTCTCCTGCAGAGTAAGTTCCCACGGTCTCCTACAGAGAGCACGTTCCCACGGTTTCCTACAGAGAGCAAATTCCCACAATTCCCTACAGACACCAAGTTCCCACGATCTCCTACAGACACTAAGTTCCATGATCTCCGGTGAGGGAGTTCCACAGTCTCCTACAGAGAGCACGTTCCCACGGTCTCCTACAGAGAGCAAGTTCCCAGTCTCCCACAGAAAGCAAGTTCCCACGATCTACAGAGCAAGTTCCCACGATCTCCTTGACACCAAGTTCCCACGATCTCCTACAGACACTAAGTTCCTATGATCCGGTGAGGGAGTTCCCACAGTCTCTACAGAGAGCACGTTCCCACGGTCTCCTACAGAAAGCAAGTTCCCACGATCTCCCTACAGACACTAGTTCCCATGATCTCCGGTGAGGGAGTTCCCACGATCTCCTCAGAGAGCAAGTTCCCACGGTCTCCTACAAAAACACGTTCCCAGGGTCTCTACAGAGCAAGTTCCCACGGTCTCCCTACAGAGAGCACGTTCCCACGGTTTCCTACAGAGAGCAAGTTCCCACGATCTCCTACAGACACCAAGTTCCCACGATCTCCCTACAGCAGAGCAAGTTCCCACGATCTCCGGTGAGGGAGTTCCCAGTTCCCTACAGAGAGCACGTTCCCACGATTTCCTACAGAGCAAGTTCCCACGATCTCCGGTGAGGGAGTTCCCACGGTCTCCTACAGAGAGCACTCCCACGGTCTCCTACAGAGAGCAAGTTCCCACGATCTCTACAGACACGAAGTTCCCACGATCTCCTACAGACACCAAGTTCCCACAATCTCCCACAGACACTAAGTTCTCATGATCTCCGGTGAGGGAGTTCCCAGCTCCTCACAGAGTGTTCCCATGGTTTCCCACAGAAAGCAAGTTCCCACGATCTCCCTACAGACACCAAGTTCCCACGATCTCCTACAGACACTAAGTCTCATGATCTCCGGTGAGGGAGTTCCCAGTCTCCTACAGAGAGTACGTTCCATGGTTTCCTACAGAGAGCAAGTTCCCACGATCTCCACAGACACCAAGTTCACACCTCCCTACAGACACGAAGTTCCCATGATCTCCTGTGAGGGAGTTCCCAGTCTCCTACAGAGAGCAAGTTCCACGATTACCTACAGAGCAAGGTCCCACGATCTCCGGTGAGGGAGTTCCACGGTCTCCTACAGAGAACACGCTCCCACGGTCTCCCTACAGAAAGCACGTTCCTACGATCTCCCTACAGACACTAAGTCCCCATGATCTCCGGTGAGGCAGTTCCCACAGTCTCCTAGAGAGAGCAAGTTCCCACGGTCTCTTCTAGAGAGCACGTCCCACGTTCCTCCTGCAGAGGTTCCCACGGTCTCCTACAGAGAGCACGTTCCCACGGTTTCCTACAGAGAGCAAGTTCCCACGATCTCCTACAGACACCAAGTTCCCACGATCTCCTGACACTAAGTTCCATGATCTCCGGTGAGGGAGTTCCCACAGTCTCCTACAGAAAGCACGTTCCCACGGTCTCCTACAGCAAGTTCCCAGTCTCCCACAGAAAGCAAGTTCCCACGATCTACAGAGCAAGTTCCCACGATCTCCTACAGACACCAAGTTCCCACGATCTCCTACAGACACTAAGTTCCCATGATCTCCGGTGAGGAGTTCCCACAGTCTCCTACAGAGAGCACGTTCCCCATGGTCTCCCTACAGAAGAAGCAAGTTCACGATCTACAGACACTAAGTTCCCATGATCTCCGGTGAGGGAGTTCCCACGATCTCCTACAGAGAGCAAGTTCCCACGGTCTCCCCTAAAAACACGTTCAGGGTCTCCTACAGAGCAAGTTCCCACGTCTTCTACAGAGAGCACGTTCCCACGGTCTCCTACAGAAGCAAGTTCCCACGATCTCCTACACACTAAGTTCTCACGATCTCCGGTGAGGGAGTTCCACGGCTCCTACAGAGCACGCCCCACGGTCTCTCCCTACAGAGAGCAAGTTCCCACGGTTTCCTACAGAGCAAGTTCCCAACGATCTCCATACAGACACCTCCTTTGATCTCCGGTGAGGAGTTCCCAGTCTCACAGAGAGCAAGTTCCCACGATTACCTACAGAGCAAGTTCCCCACGATCTCCGGTGAGGAGTTCCCACGGTCTCCTACAGAGAGAGCAAGTCCCCACGGTCTCCTACAGAGAACACGCTCCCACGGTCTCCTACAGAGAGCACGTCCTACGATCTCCTACAGACACTAAGTTCCCATGATCTCCGGTGAGGCAGTTCCCACAGTCTCCCTACAGAGAGCAAGTTCCCACGGTCTCCTTCAGAGAGCACGTCCCACGTTCTCCTGCAGAGTAAGTTCCCACGATTTCCTACAGAGAGCAAGTTCCCAACTTCCTACAGATTCAAGACTCGGTGAGGAGTTCCACAGTCTCCTACAGAGAGCACGTTCCCACGGTCTCCCTACAGCAAGTTCCAACGATCTCCTACAGACACTAAGTTCCCATGATCTCCGGTGAGGGAGTTCCTGATCTCCTACAGATAGCAAGTTCCCACGGTCTCCTACAGAGAGCACGTTCCCACGATCTCCTACAGACACCAAGTTCCCACGATCTACAAAAAACACGTTCCCAGGGTCTACTACAGAGCAAGTTCCCACGGTCTACTACAGAGCAAGTTCACGGTCTCTACAGAGAGCACGTTCCCACGGTTTCACATACAGAGAGCAAGTTCCCACGATCTCCTACAGACACCAAGTTCCCACGATCTCCTACAGACACGAAGTTCCCATGATCTCCGGTGAGTGAGTCCCAGTCTCCTACAGAGCACGTTCCCACGGTTTCACAGAGAGCAAGTTCCCACGATCTCCTACAGACACCAAGTTCCCACGATTTCCTACAGAGCAAGTTCCCACGATCTCCGGTGAGGGAGTTCCCACGGTCTCCTACAGAGAGCACGTTCCCACGGTTTCAGAGAGCACGTTCCCACGATCTCCTAGAGACACCAAGTTTCCACGATCTCCAACAGACACCTGTCTCCCATGATCTCCGGTGAGGGAGTTCCCAGTCTCCTACAGAGAGCACGTCCCACGGCCTCCTACAGAAAGCAAGTTCCCACGAACTCCTACAGACACTAAGTCCCCATGATCTCCGGTGAGGGAGTTCCCACGATCTCCTAAAAGAGAGCAAGTTCCCACGGTCTCCTACAAAAAGCACGTTCCCAGGATCTCCTACAGAGCAAGTTCCCACGGTCTCCACAGAGCAGTTCCTCACGGTCTCCCTACAGAGCAAGTCCCACGGTCTCCTACAGAGCAAGTTCCCCACGGCTCCTACAGAGCAAGTTCCCACGGTATCCTACAGAAAATGAGTTCCCACGATCCCCCAACAGACACTAAGTCCCCATGATCTCCGGTGAGGGAGTTCCCACAGTCCCTACAGAGAAAGTTCCCAGTCCCTACAGAAAGAAAGTTCCCACGATCTCCCCACAGGCACTAAGTTCCCATGATCTCCGGTGAGGGAATTCCCACAGTCTCCAAGAGAGCACGTCTCACGGTCTCCCTACAGAGCAAGTTCCCACGGTCTCCCCACAGAAACAAGTTCCCACGGTCTCCACACAGAGAACAAGTCCCAGCTCCCCACACAGAAAGCAAGTTCCACGATCTACAAGAGCAAGTTCCCACGGTCTCCTACAGAAAGCAAGTTCCCACGATCTCCTACAGACACTATGTCTCATGATCTCCGGTGAGGGAGTTCCCACGATCTCCTACAGAGAAAGGTTCCCACGGTCTCCCACAGAAAGCAAGTTCCCAAGGTCTCCACACGAGCAAGTTCCCCAGTCTCCACAGAAAGCAAGTTCCCCACGATCTAAGAGCAAGTTCCCACTATCTCCTACAGGCACTAGTTCCCATGATCTCCGGTGAGGAGTTCCACAGTCTCCACAGAGAGCACGCCCCACGGTCTCCTACAGAAAGTAAAGTTCCAACGATCTCCTACAGGACACTAAGTCCCCATGATCTCCGGTGAGGGAGTTCCCACGATCTCCTACAGATAGCAAGTTCCCACAGTCTCCCTACAGACACTAAGTCTCCACGGTCTCCTACAGAGAGCACGTCTCAACGATCTCCTAAGCAGAGCAATAATGCAACTGAACGAAGTACACTGAT